TAATTATGAGATAGTATCTCATAATAATGAGTTAGCTAGGTCATAATTATGAGATAGTATCTCATAATTATGAGATAGTATCTCATAATAATGAGATAGCTAGGTCATAATTATGAGATAGCTATCTCATAATTATGAAATACTATCTCATAATTATGACTTAGCTATCTCATGAGATAGCTAAGTCATAATTATGAGATAGTATCTCATAATAATAAGATAGCTACAGGTAGGTCATAATTATGTGAGATAGCTAAGTCAGAATTATGAGATAGTTATCTCATAATTATGAGATAGCTAAGTCATAATAATGAGATAGTATCTCATAATTATGAGATAGCTAAGTCATAATAATGAGATAGTATCTCATAATTATGAGACAGCTAAGTCAGAATTATGAGATAGTTATCTCATTATTTTGAGATAGCTAAGTCATAATTATGAGATAGTTATCTCATAATTATGAGATAGCTAAGTCATAATTATGAGATAGTTATCTCATAATTATGAGATAGCTAAGTCATAATTATGAGATAGTAAGTCATAATTATGAGATAGTATCTCATAATTATGAGATAGCTAAGTCTCTCATAATTATGAGATAGCTAAGTCATAATTATGAGATACAAGTTTTATTTTTTATCAGGGTAGCGGAAATGGGCTTCCATACAACTCCTTACTTTTTAAAACTGCAAAAAGTATTTCATTTCTATTTAACTTTGATTTGTTGTAATTCCATCTTTCAGACATACTGTAGCAGATGCATGTAGCTTAGAATGAAGATGATCGTGTGTAACAGAGATAAAAGAAAATGGTAGTGAATTTCACCAAAACTGACGTGGAGGGATTCTTAAGAGTCACCTACTGGTAGTTTAGCGTAACTGCATGCTAAGGTCCTTCAGGCACATTCAGGGCTTCCCCAGCAGAAGTATGATGGAAGCTGGTGAAGGTAGTTGCACCTGAAGCTGCTCTATACTTGACATAGATTTAAAGTCATATTTATGCTAAAGTAACTTACCCAATAACACATGTCCTGGGTGTATATCCATATACACAGGAAATTTTTACAAAAATATAAAAACAACCCATGGGCTGTTATTATATTTTTGTGAAAATTTCCTGTTTTGGGGGAGATATGAATTTGTGAGCAAGATTTGACTTGTTCAAGTTTCATTCGGTTTCTGAACAGACTAGGCATGCAGTTGTGAAACACACTGACAACATTTTGTGGTGTTTATTGTACCAGATCTCCACTAAAGAACCCTGAAAAGCAGTCCTGTGTCTGTGGCCTGATTAAAAATTACACTTGGCAATCCTGGTGAAGTGTTCATTATTTTTTACTTTTTTACTTTAAGTAGTTTTAAAACCAGTACTTTTATACTTGAGTGAAAAAAAAAGCTTTGTTGATACTTCTACTTCCAAAAAAGCATTTTTAAACCGTCTATATTTCTACTTAAGTAATGAATGTGAATACTTTTGACACTTCTGTTGGTAAGGTAATAAGACAATAAGTAGACCTATACTGTCATTTAAAAAACAAACAAAAAAAAAAGGATTTTTGTGTAAAAATGCAGCAATGATCTTTAATGTTGAATGACTAATAAAATTTGTTAGATAAAAAGTACAAGCAAAATAAAAACTAACAATCGTGGCTCACGCCAAATTATTCATAACACAACAAAAAATAAAAAAAACAAGCTAAAATGCTCAACAAACGAGCTATAATAGCAAAACACAAGCTAAAAGATTACAACACAAGATATAATGCAAAAGCATAAGCTTAAATGATAAAAACACAACCTAAATTGGCCTTGACACAAGCTAAAATAAAAAATACAAGCTAAAATAATCAAAACGAGGTAAAATAAATGCAAGATTTAATTAGCAAAACACAAGCTAATGATCATAAGTTATAAATTATCAAAACACAAGCTATACTTGGCAAAATACAAGCTAAAATAATCACAATACAAGCTATAAATAGTCATAAGTTAAAACATAACATTTAAGTAATTTGAGTTGATGTGATTGAAACTCGGACGCGGGTTTTTATCTCATTAATAATGAAAGCTTGTTATAGGAAACTGACTACCCACAATCAAGTTGTAACTCATGATTCGTTTAATTTGTGTCAATAAATGATTGCATAAGTCATTTTGAATCAAATTGAACTCGTCTGAAGGTTCCACTTATTGTGTCATTTTCACTTCGCTCAGTCAGGATATTAACAAATAGTGAGAAACCCTTGGTAAAAAATTTTCCTCATAACCATGTGTATGAGATGTGGGGAAAGCTTATTTCATCCTGAGATAAGCCCCTACAAAAGATACATTAGCTAACATGGTCATAACACAAGCTGATTAAAACACAATCCAAATGGTCAAAACACAAGCTAGAATTAGAAAAACACAGGCTGAAGTTGTCAAAGTATGATAAAATGACATTTAAGCTGGATTGAATAACACAAGCTAAATTGATCAGAATAATAAAAAGCTAAAATTACATAAATGGTAGGACAGGATAAGGATAATAGGTTACATACTTGTCACGTGATCTAGTGGGCCCATTCAGTGACACTTAGCTGCAAAGGCAATCCTAATTTATTGGATGTACTGTTTCATAATCTATTTTTGATATTAATGATACAACACGTATTTATTGTCGAATTTTCCAGACAGCCAAAAATAAAATATAATAAAATAAAATAGCTTCAAGTTGAGTTAAGAAATTAATAAACCCTACACAGATTTAAAGGTGGTCAAATTTTCGAGTGCTCTTGAATGCACCACAACGACTCTTCCGTCTTCCTTTCCTTGCTAGTAGCTAGCACGCTTGCTAATACAGCTAAAAATAGACGGCGTTTAATTATACAGGAAGTCACGGTCGATAACATGAAACTAATATCCCTTCCAGCTTTTTGTGTTTTTAATTTAGCGTACTTTGACCTTGGCAGACCACCCTGCTTCACCGACTTTATCTCCGGGGCTAACACCAATGTTTAGCTGCGCAACTGATTTTTTAGCCTTATTAGCTTGGTGCTAGTTTCTCCTTTTTCTCGAGCGCTCCATGACATGAATGAGAGCCGACGGAGTAAACAGAACAGCTTGACGAAGTGGACGAAGAGGCTGGAGGTTTTTTATTAGTATTATTTTTATTTTTTTGAGGAACCACGACAAGCTATCGCCAAAGGAGTTAAGCTAACCGTTGCTAACTAATGGAAATGCACATTTCTAGAGAAGAAGAAGAAATCACAATCCCCCCGCTGCTACGTCCCGAAACGTAACAACACAACAGCCTGTGTAACATAATGCTGCAGTCAGTGGGGGCAGGTTGGCTTTGTGTTTACATGTCAAACTTCACATTTTGTGATAGTTTTTTGACTACATTAACAAAGGTAATGCTGTTGTATAGGATTGACTTCCTGCTCCAGCTACGGGAGTAAACGCTCATCTTTAGCTTTTTTTTTTTCTTCATCAATCGTAATATTTCCTACTGTAAAAGACACGAACGATCATCATGGACACGGAGGGAATTCTTCATGAATTTAATAATTGCTACAGTTGACTTTTTTGCTCTGGATGCTTTATTTTTGGGGGATGTTATTTGAATGATTGTTGCGCCCGGAGCCCATTCGACATGTCTACTTTTGCGGAGTTCGTCCCTCCTCCTGAATGCCCGGTGTTTGAGCCGAGTTGGGATGAATTCTCAGATCCTTTAGGGTTCATCAACAAGATCCGACCCATTGCAGAGAAGACGGGGATCTGCAAAATACGGCCTCCACAGGTAAAAAAAGAAATTGCACAGTTAAAAGCATGTGTGCGTGAAACGTCTGCTGGGATATAAGCGTTTATTATCTTACGTAAAGTGCGTAGGTTGACTTTGGGCTTGGCTACGTAAAAAATAAAGCGTTACTAGTTAAAGGTCAAAAAAGTACGTAAGAGGATAAGGGTCACGGAGCAAAAAATATGATTCCCCCCCCCCCCCCCCCCATTGAGTTCTTTAATCTCAGAATTCTGAGATGAAAATCAAAATTCTGAATTTTTTCCCCCATAATTCTGAGAACAAAGTCAGAACTTCCTGATTGTTTTTTATAATAATTGAGTTGTAAAGAGTGAACTTAAATGTTTCCCCCCTGACTTTATGGTTTTTTTTTTTTCACATCTACTATCACTTCAATGATAGTAATGATGTTACATGATTTGGTCAATTTCAGCCCTAAAAGTCATTGAATATTAACATTGACATTTAGCTTAGATTTGTGTTATAAAACGTGTAACACATAATTTGAATACTCATTTAAAAATGCTTAAATATTTGCTCTGCAAAACTTGAATAAAAAATACTAATATGTGCACCGCTACACTTTGTACATTTTTTCTTCAGTGTTAATGTGCAATGAATGCAGTTCTTTTTAAGATGCTCGTCGTTGTGCTTAATTTTTCATCGCATGTGTCTTTATTGTTGTTTTTCCAGGACTGGCAGCCTCCATTTGCCTGTGATGTTCGCAACTTTCGCTTCACTCCAAGAGTGCAAAGACTAAATGAGCTTGAGGTGAGTTTTATTAAACTGCAATTCACCAGTTAAACAGTGGTTTTCTGGATAGAAATTAGGTTTGTCGAATGTTTGTCGAATTTTTTTTAAATTAAGATATTAAATTTCATCTCTTCTAACCCAAAGCAGCTGACCTGTTCAGTAAAGGCTTTTAATATGGGTTTCACGTGATTTTAAGTTTGATTTTGTATTAAACTTGACCTATTTATTAAATATTTGTTTATCCTGAGGTGCCACAAGCTTGGAAAATGTTAACTATTGTCCCTGTGTCCCAAAAAAAAAAAAACACACGCAAAGAGTAAAACAGTTGAACACTGACCTCTGGTTTAAGTGAATATTTCTGTCTTCTGTGTCTTTAGGCTCTCACTCGAGTTAAACTCAACTTTTTGGATCAAATTGCAAAGTTCTGGGAGCTGCAGGGATCAAAGATTCGATTCCCTCATGTGGAGAGAAAGATTTTGGACCTCTATCAGCTCAGCAAGGTACAAACAGATCAATTGGGAGTTTTGCTAATCTTGCTAAAAGTTGTTGGATTTATTGTAAAAATTAAAACAAAGCAAACGAATGCCTTTAATCTGATGATTATTATTGCAGTACTTGTTCTTCAGCACACTTGTAAACACTTCGTTGTCAGGTGTTCTTGGTGTTCATTTTGCTACTAAAAAGCTCAGTTTGGACATTTGGATTTGTTTTAGATCGTGTCTTCCGAGGGCGGCTTTGAGACGGCGTGCAAAGAGAAGAGATGGTCCAAAGTCGCCAGTCGAATGGGCTTCCCTCCAGGAAAAGGCACCGGTTCTCTTCTGCGCTCACACTACGAGAGAATCCTTTACCCTTATGAGCTCTTTCAATCTGGAGCTTCACTCACAGTAAGGATCAGTCCACTGCTTTTCTTATTTACTTCTGATTGTAACAGGAAGTATTTTAGAGCATTTTTAACCTGATCGCTTCTATCAGGGCCTCCACCGGCTGTATGACGAGGCGACGGACGGGGAGGAAGTAGATGAAGGAGTCGGTGAGGAAACGATGGAGGAGGACGAGGAGGAGGACGAGGAGGAGGAGGATGAAAAGGACAAGGAGAAAGACAAGGAGGGGGATGTGACGCAAACCAAAGATCAGCTTCTGCCCGAGAGGCGCTCCAGACGTCTGAAGTCAGAGGTAAAAGCCATTAGTATCAGAATCATGTCCATTCATTCATTCATTCATTCATTCATTCATTCATTCATTCATTCATTCAAACAAACAAAATGGTTTACAATAAAAAACAAAACAATTAATGATAGGTACCTGTAACTCCTTTCAGTTGAACAGGATTTTTGTTTTCAATTCAATTTCAATTCAGTTCAAAAATTTATTCATTTCATTAAAAAATACTATATACAATAATAAAAATAAACCAAAAAAATATACTAATCAGAATAAAATGAAAGGTAGCAGAAGAAGAATAAATCTTATTTTGTCTGCCCCATTTCGACTCAATATATTCAAACGAAACATAATTTACAAAACAATGCTAAATATCATAAAAATTTAAAAAAATAAAATAAAAACAACAACAACATAAAAACATCAACTCAAACAACAAATCAAATAGCTTCACATTTTACTTTTCATATTTCTTCAAAAAACTTGCCTTTTATCTGTCTCCTAAATATATACATTGACTGATAGGCCTGTCACGATAACAAATTTTGCTGGGCGATTAATTGTCTCAAAATTTATTGCGATAAACGATAATATTGTCTGGTGACCGTTTTACAACTAATAATTATAAAAGCGTAATGTGTAAGTGTAATAAATCAATAAACTTTCATTTTTAAAAGAATGTTTAACAAAGTGGACTCTCAGTCTCTAACAAAAAAATGCACTTGAATAAAAAATAAAAATAAAACAAAGAACAACAAAATGTAAATTAAACACCACACACAACTAAGACAGTAAATAAACAATATTAAAGAACAGCATGTCTTTAGAGATGAAGCAAACTACACAGCCTGGTGAGGACCCACTGTTTCTTATGGGGACATAAGCCCAGTTCACATC